GAGAAGAGAAGAGAAGAGAAGAGAAGAGAAGAGAAGAGAAGAGAAGAGAAGAGAAGAGAAAAGAAAAGAAAAGAAAAGAAAAGAAAAGAAAAGAAAAGAAAAGAAAAGAAAAGAAAAAAAGAAGAACATCCAGGCAGAGGAAAGAAGAGAAATCTGTGCCTCAAGAGAAGAGTGAAGAGGGGGAGAGAAAGGAGGCCGTCAGCGAGGGAGCACTGGGCTGGCAGGGTCTTGGAAGTCTGTGTAAGGGGTTTAGATTTCATTCCTCATGAAATGGGAAGCCAGAGGAGTATTTTAAACAAAGGAGAAACAAGATGTAATTTACAATTGTAAGAGTCCCTTGCAGATGGAGAGGGTGGGACAGAAATAGCAGTGGAGGGGAAACGGCTGTGGATCTATTTAAGAAGTAGTATTTACAGATTCACAAATGGATTGGACAGGCATGGGCCTGCAGTGAGGGGAAGAGAGGAATTTGGGGTTTGACCAGCTGCACAGACGGTGGTGTGCTTCACTGAGATCGGGAAGAGGGGAGAGGTCTGGGCAGGGATGTCCAGAATCCTGTATTGGACGCGGTAAGCGTGAGATGCCCTGTGGCGCCTGCACAGGCAACCAGCAGCCCAAACTGGAGTGGATGGAGGGGAAAAGGGTGGAGACACACCGGGAGAAAGCAGCAAGAGCCGGTGCGTGAGCTGTGGGACTGTGGGACTGGAACGGGATAAATGGGGAGGGGGTCCTGTAGCCTTAAAGTCAAGCTCACCAGGAAGAGCCAGCAGAAGTGACAAGGAAAGAAGACCTGTGATGGTGGCAGCAAAGCCAGGAGAGTGAGGGCCCCAGAAATCCCAAGGAGCTAGTGGCCAAGTGAGTTGAATCTCAGTTAGGACAGAAGTGACCCTGGGATTTAGCAATTTAGAGGTCGCCGGTAATCTCTCGACAAAAACAGTCCTAGTGGGGCAATGGGACGTGGAGTGGACTTGTCACCTCTTTCCCTCTTTTATCTACCTCTCTTCCTCCTGAGGACCCCTGCACGCAGGCCAGAACCCTGGGAGACACGTGGAGCCCCAATCTCTCTCACCCCCACATCCTCACTCCCCCCAAAGCTCTACCTGCCAACTCTCTCCACTCCACCCCTGCTTCTCCCTCTGCTCCAGCCTTGGTTCAGGCCACGCCACCCCTTTCCTGGACTTGCAACTGTCCCTCACTGACCACCTCGATTCCAGCCTCCTCTCCCCTAGTCTGTTCTCCAGCACTGCCTGAGTGACGGCTCGAAGTTGCTCGTCTGACCCCGAGTCTCCAGTCCTGAAGCCTCCTGGGCTCCCATTACCTCCCGATGATAGTCAGCTTCTGTAGCGTGATATCACTCCTGCCTCCTCTCCACCCTGCCATCTCCCCCCATTTGCCCTGCACTGAGGCCTTGGACGGCTCCTTCATCTTTTTCTTTTTTGTTGTTTTTTCCCTCTTTGTCTTGTTCTCCCCTTCCTCTTTTTCATGCTTCCCTGCCTCACCCTGCAGCTAAAGTGTTACCTCCCTCAGGAAGCCTTCCATGACTACTTCCCACCCTCTGGACACCTGGCTGCGGCCCACAGCCACTCACCTGCTGCACTGGCTGGATGGTCAGCTCCATGTAGTGACTGATGGCTGTCGTCGTCCTGAATGACTTGCGGTGTGGTAGTGCAGTGAGAGGCACCCAATCCGCATTCTTTCAAGCAGAGACGGGAAGACAGACAGGGGAATTCTTAAGTCAGGAGACATTTTCTAAAAACAAGGTCCCATTTTCTTTTAAACAACAACAAAAAACCCACCCTAAAGTGTTTGGTTTTTTTCCTGTTCTTTTATGGCTCATCTCACTTTCTGCTTCCTATAAAAAGGCATCTTATCTCTTTGAGGTCACAGTAGGTCAGTGGTTCTCAAACTTTACTGCACAGTGAAATCACCTGGGAATCTTAAAAAACAAAACAACTGATGTTTAGCTCTCAGCCCCCTCCTCCTAGATATTCTGATTTAATGGTATGGATGTGACTTGGCAAGTTTAAAAGCCTCACAGATGATTCTAAAGTACGGCAAAGCCTGGGAACCACGCAGTAGGTGCTAAACAAATGCTTCGTAAAGCAGTGGTTCTCAAGCTGTGGTGGGCATCAGAAGCACCCAGTGGGCTGATTAAAACACTCCCAGTTTAGGATTTCAGAGAGCTGGGTGGAGCCCTAGAATCTGCATTTCTAACAAGTTGGTTCCCAGGTGATGCTGGCCCAGGGACCGCACTTTGAGAACCACTGCCAAGATATTGCACAGGCTCTACTCCTTGCCCTCAGAATGACCAGACACGCAGGGCACTCTTTACACATTTTAGCTCCTTTTTGGGATATAATTTCGTAACATTTGCTAGAATGGAATGAAAACAACCTCCCAGTAGAGCCTTCACGGGAACCTGGGTCTTTGGTCCGCCCACCAATATAAACCCTTCCCCTTGGCCATACCCACCACCATCTTCTATTTCACCGACTCAGTCAGATTACATGTTAATTTCTGTAGTATGTATAGTTAAATATATATGGGTAGGTAAATTACTAAGCAGTATAAGTGGACATTGGACTATTTCATCTACATTGCTAAAAATATACTGAAGTTTACTAAAGTGTTCAAAACTATATGAAGTATGTTGTAATTAGGAAAATGGAGGATACTGTTTATTCAGGGTCCCTTAGCATTGGGCATAAACAGTGTTTTTTAAAAGTGACCAAGCGGCCAAGCTCAGGGGATCCAGGCCCCAGGCCCACCTCTGCCCCCTCCACGTGCAAACCCTGCGGGGACCAGCGGCTTTCCAGCCCGCGAGGCCTGGCCTCCTCGTGTTCCTCTTTCTCTGCGCAGGTCAGAAGGGCTTGGGTGTCGGGGCTCTCGCCGGCTTCGGAGGCGAATCCCAAGGCCCGCCTCAACCTGCTTTTCATCACCCAGGAAAGGAAAATGATCTGGGAAGTGCAGTTAAGGTCCAAGGAAGTGGGGAGTTCCGGCCGCCCAGTGCGGCCCTCAGCTCTGCACCGGGGCTCCACCCCGGGCTCTGCCTCCTGAGGGCAGGGAGCTCCTCTGAGGGCAGGGCCCGGTCTCTCTCTCTCCTTTCCCCTCAAGAGCCTGTCACCCAGTAAGACCCGCACTTGGGAAATACTTGTTAAACAAAAGCATGTTGAAAAGCATCTTACTCGAAGGGCTTGGCTTACAGGGACCATACCTACAGTGGGTTGAACAGTGTCCCCCAGGATTCATGTCCACCTGGAACCCCAGAATGTGACCTTATTTGGAAATAAGATCTTTGCTGACATAATTCGTTAAGGTGAGGTCACAGTGGATCAGGGTGGACCCTAAATCCCATGACAGGAGTCCTGACAACAGGAGAGGACACACAGGGGTCCACAAAAGGCCATGTGAAGATAGAGGCAGAAGTTAAATTACGCTGCCACAGCCAAGGAGCACCAGGAGCCAGCAGGAGCTGGAGGAGGAAAGGAAAGGTTCCCCTAGAGCCTTCGGAGAGAATGGGGCCCTGCCTGGATTTCCAACTTCTAGCCTCCAGAACTGAAAGAATAAATTTCTGTTGTTTAAACCATCAGGTTTGTGGCGATTTGTTGTGGCAGCCCTGGCAAATTTTTTTATTGAATTTATTGGGGTGACATTGGTTAATAAAATTATACAGGTTTCAGGGGTACAATCTATAATACATCATCTGTATATTGTATTGTGTGTTCGCCACCCCAAGTCAAGTCTCCTTCCATCACCATTTATCCCACCTTTACCCTCTTCTGTCTCCCCCCACCCATCCACTAGCAAATTAACACAGTACATGAGAAAATCAGTTTCTGAACTATTTATGCTTTACACAGGTTCCCCCCCCCCCACTCACACACACACCATCTCC